TTCAGTGAAATTGTTGGTTATGCATTTCTTACAAATAATTCACAAATAGTTATGAATGTCTGTGTTGCAGCAGGCATTTTGCTCACCACGGTGGACCTGGAGGTATGTGAAACAGGCACTATCTCTGCCCTCAAATTTAACATGTGCAGGTTGCTGGATTGGACTACAGGCCTGAGGAGAACTATAACAATCTCCTAGAGGGAACGGTGATTAAACATGGATCAATTGTGCCACCCATATAGCCTTCCTACTTACTGATCACGAATGATAGCAGATCTTAGCAAGTATAAATCAACAAGAGGAATTCAATGGTGCTATTCACTACTATGAAGCTTTTCATTTTGCCTCTTACTAAGATTTCAAAGATATCCTTGCCCCCACACACAAAAACAAATACTGTGCAATCTCACTTATATGTGGAATCTGAAAAAGTTGAACTCGTAGAAGCAGAGAGTACAATAGTGGGTGCCATGGGCTGGGGGTGGAGGAAATGGGAGATGATCGTCAAGGGTACAAACTTTCAGTTATAAGATGAACAAGTTCTGGGGCTCTAATGTACACGATGGGTGGTGATGAACATTTTCATTAATTTGATTATTGTAAGCATTATGCAATGTATACATTTATCTAATCATCATATTATATACCTTGAATATATTTGACCTTTATTTCTTAATTAAATATTTTAAAATAAAATATATTTAAATTTGAAAAATATTTTTTCAAATTGTATAAATACCCATGTATCATTTCCATTTTCATTCAATCCGTAAATAAGCTTTCTCAGAAGTTTTACATTTCTAAAAACTTGAATTTGGGGCTCTTTGGCTCAAAGCACTAGCATCTCTCCTAAGCAATCCTATTCTGAGGCCTATCTTTATGTTTAGGATCCTAGCCTATGATTTTATAAAAACAACCGACCAAAAAAATCCCTCCAAGATGCCATTATTATAGCTAATTGCTAATGTGTATCCCTCCCGCCCCGCCCAATTTATCCAGCAGCTTCTCTTTTTTGTCAGATGTCAGATAGATCCCAAATGCTAAATCTGTCCTCTGGGCAGGCGAACAATTATACTGCCTATTGCCTCTTCTTCCTTTCGTTATTCTGTCATCAATTATGCTGTCCACAAGGGATTGTATCACAGGAGGGTCTGTTAGCAAGAGCTCAAATACATGTAGCAGCTGTCTATTTGCAAATACAGAATGCCATGAACACATGGTACAGAAGGATGCTTACTTTTATATGCTTGTATCTTCTCATTTCATTAGGTTATCCATTATCCTTTTCCCTTTCAAATGCTCCATATATAGTAAATAGCTTTATTTTTCTTTTCTACTAAACTCCACTGCAATAGAAATAACTAAAATGTTAAAAAGTATCTCAGATAGCCAAATCATCACAGCACAAAAAACAGCTCAAGCTTTCAGTAGCAGTAGAGATAATATTAATCATAATAGCAGCAGAATGAGCAAGTGTTTAGTTGTTACTACATTCCAGGCACTTCCCTGGCAACTTTACGGGTAGTTCCTCATTTATTATTCATAATTACCACATGACATGGTAGATGTCATTATCTATGCTCTTTATAAGGTTCCTAGGTAGCATACTTGTGGTTTAAACCCAAATCTGCCTGACTCTGCCTCCCTCCAACTTTACACTGAGAATGAGGGAGAAGAGAAAGGTGGGATGAAAGGCAGGGGGAAAAGTGGACAGAGAGAAGAGAGAGAAATAATGGAGCAGAACATCTTCAATTCTTTTTTATTTTAATTTTTATCATACATTTACAAATTACAGTTGTATTTATTTATGGGATACAAAGTGATGTTATGATTTTCGAATACAATGTGGAAAGATTAGGCTAATTAATGTCTCTATCACCTCAAATATTTGCGATTTCTTGGTGATGAGAACATTAGAAGAAATTTACTCTCAGTGATACTAAAATGTACAGAAGTCAATGACTAGCTATATTCACTATGCTATGCAACTGATCTCAAAAAAAAAAAAAAAAACTTATTCCTCCTGAGACTTTGTACCCTTCAACTATTACCTCCCTACTCCTTTCACTCCCCAGCCTCTGTAGCCACCATTCTACCCCCTGCCTCTATTAGTTCAATTGTTTCAGGCTCCACATATAAGTGAGAATATGTGATATTTGTCTTTCTGTGTTTGGCTAATTTCATTTAGCATAACGGTCTTCAATTCCATTCATGTTGTCACAAATGACAGAATTTCTTCTTTCTTTATATATACTGTATTTTCTTCATAATCCATTAAACAAACGTCTATTGAGCACCTAGTACTGGCTGCGCATACCATCTACTTGTAACACAAGTTCCTTGCCTTAGAGAGGCATGTTTGGCTTAGAGAAGTACAATCTCCAGCCAACAAGCAGTCTCCACCTTAAGGACAATAATCAATATGTGCCAAAGTGCTGAGAGCACAGGGAGAGAGTGGGGCTCTGTTGAGGGAACTGGGGGAGGTTTCCCAGATAAGGTGCCTTTGAGCAGGAACGTAAGCAAAGCGTGAGTGTTCTCAAGCTGACTGAGGGTGGAAAGTTATAGGAGGCGGAGGTCACAGCAGGGTGACATAGCAGGGTGTCCGATGGAGGGTGCCCAGGGGGACTGAGTGCTTCAGCAGCTGCAGAGGAGGATACATGTGGAAGATTTTGAGAGGTAAGAGCAGAAAGGCAGGTAGTCTGACAGCACATTGGGATGGACATTAGGAGAGGTGGTAAGGAGGGCAGAGGAGGGGGCAGGTGAGGAAATATGAAACATGGGTCTGCCGGTGCAAGTGACTTCATGCAGCATGGTATTTGAGGTTATCATAAGTCGTTGAATCACACACAATGTTTTGTTCAGTGCTTTTTGTTCTGACTGTAGATTATGCTAATTTTGATGGAAAGAAGAGAAATACATATAATGGTAAGGGTGGACCTAAATCAGAGCTTTGGGGTCTAGGAAATGAAAGTATAGCAGGCCGGGCACGGTGGCTTATGCCTGTAATCCCAGCACTTTGTGAGACCGAGGCAGGCGGATCACCACGTAAGGAGATCGAGACCATCCTGGCTAACACGGTGAAACCCCATCTCTACTAAAAATACAAAAACTAAGCCGGGAATGGTGGCGGGCGCCTGTAGTCCCAGTTACTCAAGAGGCTGAGGCAGGGGAATGGCGTGAACCCGGGAGGCGGAGCTTGCAGTGACCCGAGATCATCGTGCCAGTGCACTCCAGCCTGGGCTACAGAGCAAGACTCTGTCTTAAAAACAAAAATCAAACAAACAGAAAAAGAAAGTATAGCCTGAGAAAGCTAGGAGCTTGGGTGGAGAGGAAGCAAAAGCATTTCTGAACTGGAGACAGATACTGAAATGCAAGGCAGGTGGCATAGAGACAGGTGGGCTATTCAATTGTACACCAGGCATCCCTGGGGCTGGGTATCAGGCAAAAGATCAAAGGATGAGATGAGAAGACAAAATGATGCCATCATTATTTCTGTCTTTAAAAGTAATCAAATGGGCCAGGCACAGTGGCCCACGCTTGTAATCCCAGCACTTTGGGAGGCTGAGGAGGGCCAATCACTTGAGGTTAGGAGTTTGAGATCAGCCTGGCCAACATGGTGAAACACTGTCCCTACTAAAAATACAAAAATTAGCTGGGCGTGGTGGTTTGCGCCTGTGTTCCCAGCTACTCAGGAGGCTGAGGCAGAAGAATTGCTTGAACCCAGGAGACAGAGGTTACAGTAAGCCGAGATCCCACCACCGTACTCCAGCCTGGGTGACAGAGCAAGACTCTGTCTCAAAAAAAAAAAAAAAAAAAAGAAAAAAAAAAAAAAAAACCAAAAACTAAAACTAAAAACAAAATGATGAAATGCTTCAAGTGTTAACAAAAAGCACATTTGAACTGACAATATATCAATCACCACAACACAGTCTGAGAAAATATTTTGATGGCCAACCACAACAAAATATTATTGGGACTTGGGATGCTATTACATTGTTCCTTGGATTAATAATCTTCTTTTGTGTAGAAAGGTGTGTCTTGTCAGTCAAACTTTTCTTAATCTGCCTGCTTAAGGGTAAAATAGACCACAACATATGTCTTTAAACTGTCAGATCTGGACTCTTCCTGTAATCTCTCCCCATAGATAAGAAGTGGGATTTCAAAAAAGGGAAAGAACCCTTTGTATCCTAAATTTGTCAGGAAATTCTTATCAAGAATATACCTCTACCATAGTACTTATAATATAGCAGCAAAAAAAAAAAAAAAAATGCAAGTTTTTATTTGTTGTTCTCTGGGACAAGGTTTCCAGTGGAATAATAGAGTCAAAAGATACTGCTTATGACAACTTATAATTAGACATTGTGCAGTCATCATTAAATCAACAGAGCAAGTTTTTACTTCAAGGTTGCCATCTCCTACTTCTCTGTTGCTATAGATTATCATTTCCAGTACATACTCTTCAAATGGGAAAGCAGTGGCCAGGAACAATGGGGTAGAGATAAAGCTGGCAATGCAGGTTTCCAGGCAGCCCTCCTGGAGTACAGTAAAATCCCCAAGGCCACGATAAAGTTCAGTGTGAAGAGTCCAAACGGGTGTCATACAGACCTGGGGTCCAGTCTCAGTTTTTTATCTTAATAATTCTAGGACATAATATGCACAAAGCACTTGGCCTAATGCATGGCACACAGTAGACACTCAATGAATAGAAGCTGTTATTGCTGCAAAATTATTTTTTGAAGCATGAAAAGGAAAAGCCAGAGTCCAAGTATGGCAGAGCTCCTCACTTCAAAGGCATAAGCATTCCTTTCAAATGTAAATCCTTCTGCCAACTTCTTATGAATATTTAGGGTCTAAAACTTATCTAAAACGATCACTAGTACAATAAGGTAGTATTTTATATGTCATTTTCCAGGACTGCTCCCTTTTTCCTTATTATTATTTATATGATAATATAAAATGTAAGAGATTAATAAATAGAAACAATAGATTTTTGGTCTTACCATTTTTGTCTGCTCTCCTCAGTATCTGCAAAGGGAAAAGGAAAAATTTTATCACCATTTTAAATAAATATTGCAGTGAACATCACACTTACACATAATTTATTCATAATTAAATAAAATACATTCTAATTTTAAGTAAAGGTTTCCCAATTGAGATCTTTCTTTATAATATCTAAAACCTGAAAAAGACCCAAATGTCCATGGATAGACAAACCATGAATGGACAAATCAACTGTGGTATAGCCATACAAGAGACTACTACTGAACAACAAAAATGAATGAGCTATTGATACACACAACAACTTGGATAGAACCAAAAAATAATTAGGCTGAGTAGAAAACCTAGATGCAAAACAATACCTACTTATAATTCAATTTATATAAAATTCTTAAAATGCAAACTAATCTGTAGGGACAGAAAGCAGATTAAGGTTCTTAGGAACGGGCAGGGCAGAGAATGGTGGATTACAAGAGGATGTGAGAAAACTTTTGCAGGTGATAGAGATAGTTATTATCTTGAATGTGGTAATGGTTTCTTATGTTAAAACTCATCAAGTTTACACTTTACATATGTGCACATTAATGTAAGTCACTCATACCTCAATAAAACTGGGATTCAACAAAACATAAAAGAAAAATAATACATCATGGGTAAAGAGTAACCCACATGTCTATGCTATATCTACTTTATTTATACTTTATTAATCATATTATCTTGGATGTATTTTAAATTGTCTTGATGTATAAGAACTATTTGGCCATCCGGTACCCATTACTCTTTAGTAATGATTTCTAATGTTCTTCTGGAAAGCCAACCTTTCCTACATGCCTGACCTAGGTGCTCCAGTGCTGGGAAGGGCACTTATGTCTGACAAACATGGTGTCATATCCCTCTGGTCATGGGACTGCTCAGGCATGAGCATATTAGGGCCAGTGAATGACAGGCCATGGTTTTGCTTGAGTGTTTAGGAGACAGACATATTCTACCTTCTGCTGACTTTGAACCTGGGAACATATAGGCAACGCACTGCTGTCATTCATTTTGTTATTGGATATATTGTAGGTTGAATTGTGTCCTCCAAAGCCAAATGTTGAAATCCTAATGCTAAGTATCCATTAATGTAATAGGGTTTGGGAGGAAAAGCCCTTGATAAAATCCAACATTCCTTCATGATAAAAACTTTGAACAAACTAGGCATGGAAGGAACATACCTTAAAATAATAAGAGCCATCTATGCCAAACCCACAGCCAACATCATACTGAACAGGCAAAAGCTGGAAGCATCCCCTTGAACGCTAGAACTAGAACTGGAACTGGAACAAGACAAGGACGCCCACTCTCACCACTCCTATTCAACATAGTACTGGAAGTCCTTGCCAGAGCAATCAGGCAAGAGAAAGAAATAAAAGGCATCCAAATAGTAAAATAAGAAACCAAATGATCTCTCTTCACTGATGGTAGAATCCTATACCTAGAAAACTCAAAGACTCCACCAAAAGTCTCCTGGGACTGATAAATGACTTCGAGTTTCAGAGTACAAAATAGAGGTACAAAAATCAGTAGCATTTCTATGCAGCAATAACATTCAAGCTGAGAGCCAAATCCAGAATGCAATCCCACTTACAATAGCTACACAAAAAATAAAATACCTGGGAATATATTTAACCAAAGAAGTGAAAGACTTGCACAAGGAGAACTACAAAACACTGCTGAAAGAAATCATAGATGATAGAAACAAATGGAAAAACATTCCATGCTCATGAATTGGAAGAATCAATATTGTTAAAATGGCCATACTACCCAAAGCAATGTACACATTCAATATTATTCCTATCAAACTACCAATGTCATTTTTTACAGAATTAGAAAAAACTGTTCTAAAATTCACATGGAATGAAAACCGAGCCTGAATAGCCAAAGCAATTCTAAACAAAAAGAACAAACCTGGAGGCACCACATTACCTGACTTCAAATTATACAATAAGGCGGCAGTAGACAAAACAGCATGGTACTGGTACAAAAAACAGATACAACAATGAAACAGAATAGAGAACCCAGCAATAAAGCTGTACACTTACAGTCATCTGATCTTCAACAAAATCAACAAAAATAAATAATGGGGAAAGGATTCTCTATTCAATAAATGGTGCTGGGATAGCTAGTAGGTCATATGCAAAAGAATGAAACTGAAGCACTATCTAATACTATAGACAAAAATTAACTCAAGATGGATTAAAAATTTAGATATAAGACCTCACAATATAAAAATCCTGTAAGAAAACCTAGAAAATATCATTCTTTACATTGAGAAAAAAATTCGCCTTGAGAAAAAATTTATGACTAAGTTCTCAAAAGCAATTGCAACAAAAACAAAAATTGACAAGTGGGACCTAATTAAACTAAAGAGCTAGAGCACAGGAAAATAAACTATCAATAGAGTAAACAGAGAATCTAAAGAATGGGAGAAAATATTCACCAACTATGCATTCAACATAGTACTAATATACAGAATCTGTAAAAATCTTATTTCAAAAAACAAAAAAGAATCCCATTAAGAAGTGGGCAAAAGACATGAACAGACACTTCTCAAAAGAAGACATACAAGTGGCCAAAAAACGTATGAAAAAAACGCTCAATATCACTAATCATCAGAGAAATGCAAATCAAAACCACAATATGCTATCATCTCACACCAGTCAGGATGGCTATTATCAGAAAGTCAAAAAAACACAACCAGATGCTGGAGCTGCTGCAGAGAAAAGGGAATGCCTACACACAGTTGGTGGGGATGTAAATTAGTTTAGCCTGTGGAAAGCAGTTTGGAGATTTCGCAGAGAACTTAAAACAGAACTACCATTTTGACTCTGCAATCCCATTACTGGGTATATATCCAAAAGTAAATAAATCATTGTCCCCAAAAGACACATGGCACTTGTATGTTCATTGCAGCATTATTCACAATAGCAAAAATGCTAAATCAACCTAAGTGCCCATCAGTGGTCAACTGGATAAAGAAAATGTGGTACATATACATCATGGAATATATAACAGCCATAAAAAAAGTACAAGATCATGTCCTTTGCAGCGACATGGATGCAACTGGGGGCCATTATCCTGAGTGAATTAATGCAGAAGCAGCAAACCAAACACTGCATAGTCTCACTTATAAGTGGGAGCTAAACACTGGGGACACATGAACATAAAGATGGCAGCAACACACACTGGGGACAAGGGTTGAAAAACTAACTGTTGAGTATTATGCTCACTGCCTGGGTGATGGAATCATTCGTACCCCAAATCTCACCATCATGCAATATACCCATGTAACAAATCTGCAGATATTCCCCCTGAATCTAAAATAAAACTTTAAGTTATAAAAAGAAAAGAAATAGGGTTGGCCGGGCTCGGTGGCTCAAGCCTGTAATCCCAGCACTTTGGGAGGCCGAGACGGGTGGATCACGAGGTCAAGAGATCGAGACCATCCTGGATAACACGGTGAAACCTCGTCTCTACAAAAAAATACAAAAAAAACCTAGCTGGCCGAGGTGGCGGGCTCCTGTAGTCCCATCCCAGCTACTTGGGAGGCTGAGGCTGGAGAATGGCGTAAGCCTGGGAGGCGGAGCTTGCAGTGAGCTGAGATCCGGCCACCGCACTCCAGCCTGGGCTACAGAGCGAGACTCCGTCTCAAAAAAAAAAAAAAAAAAAAAAAAAAAAGAAAGAAAGAAAGAAAGAAAGAAAGAAAGAAAGAAGGAAATAGGGTTAAGATAAAATATAACTGGATTGGGTGGTCCCTAAGTCCAATGACTGGGGATCTTATAAGGAGAGAAATTCAGAGTTGCAGAGATAGAGGATAGAGACCATGTGATCAGAGGCAGGTATTGGCGGGTGCAGCTGAAAGCCAAGGATGCCAAAGTACTGACAGGTGCCATCAGAAGCAAGAGAGGAAGCATGATACAGCTCCCCCTCTGGAGCCTTCCCAGGGAGCATTATCCTGCTAGCAGCTTGATTTCGCCCTTCTTACCTCCAGAACCGGGAGAGTACATTCTATTGTGGTAGTTTGTTACAACAGCCATAGGAAATTAATACAATATATAACCTGGAAAGAACCAACACCCAGGAAAGTAGTGTTCAGAGACTTAGAGAAAATGGGTCCAGATGGCACTCCCTGAGTCTCTGATTAAGTAATCTTGATGAAATGATCTCTGCTTTTTCATTACAGGAGCCAATACATTTTTTTTTTTAACAATCTCAAAACAGTTTGCATTATTTTTTCTGCTAGCTGCAATGAAGTTAGCCCTGATAGGTATGCTAATAGAAAATAATCTGGATAACATACTACAGCGCTATGTTATATACAGTACCAAAGAGGACGCCCCACCAGCACATTGCAAAGACAAACTTTAATTACTTGGAAGGGGCCCTTGAGGATGATTTTTTCCCTAAGTAACTTGTAGTTATAGTTAAATAACCAGAGCTATTCTTATATTTAGATCGTCACTTCTTGCTGGCCAGCTTGAAACATGAGCAATCGTTTTTATTCCCAAGTTGTCTGTTTTACTGCATTCTACTATAAAAACATTATCTTCCTTTCACTCTGCCGACTTCACGGAAATGAAGTATAGATAAATCTAATCATTGCCACAATGTGTTTTAAGATACTAGTATTACTATTAAAGATCTCACCCATGAAACTTTTCCAGCAACAGGTAGGTATCATCACCCAGACTTGCATGCAGAGGAAGACGGTCCTCCTTTTTCACTAAATTGATGTAATTACTGCAGGACAACTGCTTTCAATTGTAAGAGCTATGCTTAAAGCAAAATGAGACCCAGATTCTTTTTCCTCCATAGAGTTAATTGCTAGAGGGGATTTTGAGGATTCATTCCCTGATCACAACTAGCTTCTTCCTGTCCTCTGCAACCATGGAGCCCCAGCTGAGAGTCAGGGAGACATAAAACACATCCTATTTCTTACTTTTGATTCATTCTAAGATTCTATTTCAAGCTGTATTTTGTCCTCAGGA